ATCTTGTTATCCTGAGAAATTTTTTGTAATCCATTGATTTTCAAAAATTGCTCTATCTCAAATTCTTTCTGAGGCCCTTGTGTATATAGTTGTTTAAAATATCTCTGGAAGCATTTCCTAATTTCTTCTGGATTCTGAATATTTTTCCCTTCCACTTCCAAATTTGTAATAGTATTAAGTTTTTGTCGTTTCTTCAACTGCCAAGCCAGCAGTTTCCCACATTTATTCGCCGATTCAAAAGTCTTTTGCCTCATTCGTTTAATTTTCCATTCCACTTCTTGATTTATCAATTTCATATATTGCACTTGGTACAATTTTATTTCCCTCAGAGTCTCTTGTGAATTGGGCTTCACTCTCAATTTCTTCTCGCCCTCCTTTATTTTTTCCAAGATTTTTTCTTTCTTTACGTTTTGGGCCTTCTTCTTAATTGAATTCTGTTGAATCAGGAAGCCCCTCATAACAGCTTTACTTGCATCCCAGATTACTCTTTTTTCTACAGTTGAATTCAAATTTATCTCAAAATAGTCTCTCAATGTCTTTTGGGCCTTCTTAATCACCTCTTGATCTCTAAACAAGGTGTCATTCATCCTCCATCGGAAGGAACCAATAGGTGTTAACTTCATCTCCATTCTCACAGCATTATGGTCGGAGCATGTTTTTGGGCAGATCTCTACCTTCTTAACCTTAGGTGCCAGTTCTCTAGTAGTCCAGATTTGGTCAATTCTTGTCCATGTCTTTTGGGCTTCAGAAAAAAAGGTTCCTTCTCTATCAAGGGGTTCTTAGTTCTCCAAATATCAATCAAATCCATATTGTCAGTTAGTTCAAAAATGTTTTCGGTAGTCTACCATCTTTAGTAACTACCTCTCTTTGTGATTTGTCCATATTTGTAGAAACCACCCCATTCATATCTCCCATGAAAACAGTGTTATAATCCATATAGTCCATCAAGGTCTCATGCAACTTTTTGTAGAATATAGATTTCCCCTCATTCGGTGCGTATACACCTACTATCAAAAATTTTTCTCCTTGTACTTGAATTTCAATTGCTATGAATCTTCCTTGTTCATCCTTAAAGACAAATTTTGGTGAGAGGCTCTCCTTTGCATAAATTACTACTCCTCGTTTTTTAACTTTGTCTGATGAGATAAATTCTTGGCCCAATCTCTTATTAATCAAAATTTTCCTGTGGAGCCTCATCACATGGGTTTCCTGTAAGCAAATTAAGTCCAATTGTTCTTTTTTAAGTATATGAAATACTTTCCTCCTTTTTTCCGGGGAGTTCAGGCCACAAACATTCCAAGTTAAAAGTTGCAGGGCCATGATGATTTCTTTATTTCCCTCCAACTGCTCCCAGTAAATCTTCTTCCTCTGTTGGTGGTTTCGGCTTCTCTATCTTATCCTCTCCCAACGGTGGTAATGTAAGATCCAATCCTGTTAAAGGGGCTATTGGCTCCAGTCCTTTTTGTAGGTCCTCTTGGTAGTCTCTCAAAAAATTCTGTTTCTCCTCCACAGATTTAATTTTGATTTTTTTGCCTCTAAAACTAAAAGATAGGCCTTGAGGGAACTCCCACCTGAAAAAGATTCTGTTTCCTCTCAGCAACGTCACCAGGTCTCGATAGTTAGACCTAAGCTCCAAAAGATGCTTTGGAATATCTTTGAATATTTCTATCCTTGAGTCTTGTATTATCAGTGTGTTTTGATAATGTAAGCTCAAAATCTTATCTCGTTCCTCTTTTGATCGCAGGGTGATCAGGCAGTCTCTCACTTTATTTTTCCTTGCTCTTCTTCCAAGCCTAAAAGCAGACGTTATCTTAAAATCTTCCTTATCATTCAATTGCCAAAAGTTGGCAAATTCTTGGGTCAAAAAGTCTGCCAGGCTCTCTTTTTCACTCTCAGGTACTGCCCTGATCCTTAAATTGGTCTGTTTCTCCTTCAACTCAAGAACAGATAGCCATTCCTGGTGCGTTCCCAATCTTATATGGTACTCTTCAACTTGTTTAATTAAAGGTGGTAATTTTTCTTCCGCAGCTACTGCCTTTTCTCTGGCTTCCAAAGCTGTTTTTTGAGTTTCAGCAGATTGTTCCAGTAGTTTTTTAATCACATCTGTATTTTCATTAGTCTGACGGGTCAACTTGTCAATGCTTGCAGAGTTTTGTCTAATGGCTTCTAAAGCCTCAGCATTTTGTTGACCCAATTTTTCAAAACCTTCATTCACAATTTTAAATAAGCTGGCCAATCCTTCTTCTTCCCCTTGTGGTCCAGCAATGGATTGCCTACGCTGTTGCTGTTGTGCAATGTTACTCTGCTGCCTGCCTTTCCCAGACCTCAGATCTCTTCCTTCCATGGCACTTTATCTAAAAGTCAAGGTCACTCTCACAGTCAAAGTTATTTTGTTGTTGTACTTTCCCAGGCTGCTGTCAGATGGAAAGTTCCTCAATTAATTAAAGACTTTTTCTCCTTTGGCCTCCAGGGGGACACAAGCAATAAAGTATCAAGAATAAAAACTCTCAAACAGCCAAAGAGGCAACTTTTTTCCCAAAGTTGTAAAACTGTCCCAAAGTTTCAATTTTGTAAAGTTAAAAGGCAAAAAGATACATTGTCCATTTAGAGTGCTAACAAAGTGTCCAATCTTTCCAAAACCTGGCAGTCTGTTCCCAGGGATTGAGAAGTGGTCTTTTATTTTCTTGTTTACTCTTAAAATTACTCAAAAAAAATAACAGTAATTAGCAAGAAATACTATCTCTTCTTCCCCCCCTAGTCCAATTATGGGGGAGAAAATTTTACATTAAAAGTCTTTGTTTCAGTCTCTTTTAGCTTTCATTGGTATCGAACTCCCAAAATCTTTGCTTTATTCTCTATACAGACCGGGAGGTGGACTTCCTTTTTACACCGTTCCCGCTTCAGCCGAATCAGTTCAAAAGTTTTTGTAAATCCTTATAGCGTAAAGCCTACTCACGGGTTGTACTTTTGACAGCCGAATTGTCAAGGAAGAAAGGTCAGCGCTCTCCAGTAACAGCTGCACGGCTTCACTCCGCGAAAGTAGCAGACGACTCACAGTGCCGCGCCACCCCCGTCCTGCTTCGGAGCCCCTTACGGGGTTCCTACACTGTTTGGGGGCGCGCTCCAGGCACCCGCCGAGTCCCACGACCGCAGGCTTCCTCCGCCTGCGGGTTTCAAAAGGGTCTCCGCTGCGCCGTAGCGGATCGACCCAGTTTTCACGGAGCCTCTCCTCGGAGGTTATGAGGAGATCGCCATTACTGTTGGCGCCGCCTCCGGAAGTCCCCTAGATTAAATAGAACTAAAGGCCAGGACTTTGTGTTTTCAGAAAATGAAGGTGTTGCTGCAGCTGTCAGGGAGAATGGTGAATAGAGGCACGATCAGGTCAGGTCAGTGAAGATACCTTCTGATCCCCTATGGCTCTTAGCCAATGCCCAACCTAGATCACTTTTGCCACCAGACCTGGCAGAACACATTAAAAAGTACAAACGCTCCCTGCCACAGATGTTTTTACTGCAGTACATGGAGGAGGGGGAAGTAATAGGGACATGGCAAATGTGGTGGAGCTAGCTAGTGCATCCTCACCTATGAGGAGAAGAATGCCTGAATAGGACTAATGGTTACTAAATGAAATCCAAGCTAGAAATGTTGGCAGATCTCTGATTCAACTATAAAAGCCAAATGCAGCTTTGTCTTCCCAGTACATCATGGATGGAACAAAGTGAGAACAACGGGTGGGGAACGAGAGTTATCCCTTCCTACATCAAATTTCTGATCTTAGTCACCTCTTTCAAAAAGGTATCAACCCTGTTTAAGGAAAACAAAACACAACTCAGCAGGAAATATAATTTCCCAGGGCCTTGTCTAGTTTCTCACTGAATCATACAAAACATGATAACTATTTAAAACAGGTGAGCAATTCTTGAAAAAAGACGATGGCCAGCACACAGACACACACTAAATTACTCTGCCATTAGCCTAATATTGAAATTGTTCCTGTTTTTAGTCAAGGTGACTTATTCACTGATAAGGGGTGACATGCAAAAGCAGACAAACAGAGCTTGAAAGGGCTCTCCTTGGGAAATGGTGCTCTGCTTGGATTCCTTCCATACTACACAGCTAAAGTGAATGTTCAGTTGTGGTGAAGATAGCCAGTGAAGCAAATGATGAGATTACAGTTCAAAAAGAAGAGATAGGAAGGGGGGGGCATGAGGAAACTATTATTAACATGAATCACTCTGATGTTTTTCAAAAGGACCAAGCAAGATACAGGTATTAATAATGCCAATCAGACATATTAAGGACATTGTAAATTCCTTCACACCTTACTTACATAAAAGGAGAGAGCAATTAAAAGTGGTTGGGGTCACAAACATTTAGCTGAAACCTTGGTCCTTACTGGGGAAACCCAGCCAGATGGGTGGGATATAAATAATAAAATTATTATCATTATCATTATCATTATTACAGTCCATGGTTTTTGAAAAAGCTTGAAGAGGCGAAGGCTGCTGAATGTGCATTATTATAATAATTATTTCCTTTAATCAATTTATGTTTCTCCCTTTATCCATGGGTGATGTGCAACATTAAGAATATATCTTATGCAGGATAATCATAAAAACAGAATACACAGTGTAATAATACAATAATCATAATACCCCCCCCCATTTAACTTGCCATAGTCTAGCTGATGGCCATTTAATGCAGTGGAGGTGGGGGGCTCTGAAACGCCTGCTGCCGCCATCTGCCTCAGGTGGAGCTGCTCTTTGAGCCTTGGATTCCCAACCCAAGACTATGGGGCACCCACATGATCCTTATCATGAGAGCTGTGGCTCTGGCTGCTGGAGACAAATCACGCCCCCTCACCACCCCTGGCTGTCATGCCACAGATGTCAGCAAGTGTGATGTGGCCGGAGAATATGGACTGTTCCTGTGAGATGGATCCCTGCACATTCACAGAGACAGTCTGTGTGTGCTCATCACACTTTCCCCCTTCAGGCCTTTCCACAACCCTTGACCGAAGAATGGTATACTCCTTCTGCTGGAGATGGTCATCCTCTTCCACCGAGCGCGCAGCTTCAGGAGGGATGCACATGGAGCGGTAAGGGAGGAAGGGGACACCAGCCTAGCCAACCACACCAGCCAAATCAACCCTGGAGACCAATGGGATGACAGATGTCTCAACCTGATCACCCTTACATCCGAAAAAACAGTTATGTCGTTATGTCCCTGTGGAGATGGCAGTATTGAGTCAGTGGCTCATGTGCTTCTGGCTTGCACTCTTTATAAAGATTTGAGGAGTGAGATCCCCTCTATTATTGTCCATGCTGGGTTGTTCAATCATTGCTACTATGTCCTTTTTTTTAGCAGATCAAGATGACCAGGTGACAGCAAAAACTGCAAGGTTTTTAGCGGGGGCAATTAGAATAAGATCTATTATTTGATTGTAAACCCCCAAAATGTATTTTCTATAGTTAAGTTTTTACCTCTATCTTCAGTACATTTCATTTTACTTTATTGCTATGGCTAGTGGTTGATGCAAATGAAGATTCTTCTGATTTTGATTCTTCTACTTTCAATAACGTGTGGACAGCCTGAGAACAGGGCCTAGATAAGCCTGTGCAACTTTGTAAACTATAGCAGTAGGAAAATATAAAAAAGGAGGAAAGAAAACATTTGTTCAATTTAAACATTGCTTTCTGCCGTGTTTTCTAAAGCACACACATTCACTGGCGTTGCAAAGAAGCATATGCAATTGTACTAATAGTACAGCGCATACTTCAACTCCGTAATGTAATTTTAGAAATTATCCTTTTAAAGCTAGAGCTTAGAAGGAGTGGAACACAAGGCAAAGCAAACCAAGGGGGAAATAAGAGAGCAAAACTAAAAAAATAAACACCACATTCTCAGCGCTAGTACAAAAATTTCCGAGACATGACAATTGCTTGACAATAATGGAAGTAAAATATTTATATACCTATCCCTCAAATCAAGATACATGAAATATATCTAAATGGCTATGTTTCTCCCAAAACAGCTGCTGATCATATGTAGCCAAAGACACCATGATTTCTATAGCTGGTTTTTTTCTTTCTTTCCAAAAAAAGGAAATACTGGTAAATCTCTTTCTCAAAAATAATATGCCCCTAAATTGTTAGAGCACTTTCACACCGCTTCAAAACTTAATCGAAGATTCCCTGATTGGTAGTTTAGTCTGAAAAGGATTAATTTTAAGGATTAATATTCAAAACTATAATCATAATGGAGAGCAAAATTGTTAGTGTTGAGCAAATCAAACCACGCTATGAAACTGTGGCTTGAGGAAGTTCAGAGACTCTCCATTGACAGTTGAATGAAGAGGCATTCTGAGTAGCATCAGAAACACATGTAGTTTTGAAATACAAGCAAAGTTTAGTATACTGCATACATATACATTGAAGAACGGATAGCTAGAGAGCGAGAGAGGTTTAGAGGTTCTACATAGAAGTTTACATACACATACATTGCTCAGTCAGCTCTGCTGGCTTTTTGAACCAGCTTCTGACAACTAACAATCACTACTTTAGCAACAGAATTAAACAAAACTAGATGTTGAACTAGATCGGGGTCAGCAAACTTTTTCAGCAGGGGGCTGGTCCACTGCCCCTCAGACCTTGTGGGGGGCTGGACTATATTTTGAAGGGAAAAAATGAACGATTTCCTATGCCCCACAAATAACCCAGAGATGCATTTTAAATGAAAGGACACATTCTACTCATGTAAAAACAGGCTGATTCCCAGACCGTCTGCGGGCTGGATTTAGAAGGCGATTGGGCCAGATCTGGCCCCCGGGCCTTAGTTTGCCTACCCATGAACTAGAAGCTCAGCAGAAGACATGGAATGAAAATCTGGTTGCCAATGCACAGCTGCAAAGTGGTGCAGGGAGGGTGGAACTTGCAGCAGGGAAGTTGCAACTGGGGAGCCGCTACTTCACCCTTCCCCTTCATGCTGCTTCCCCTCCTCCCTCCACAAAAGCCTCTTCTTCAATTGCTTTTTCTTCAGTTGCTTTTCTGTTTCTGCCTGGGAAACAGTTGGGGAAAAGATTGTTGCAGGAAGAAAGCAGTAGGTGAAGGAAGGGGGCAGGTGTGAGAAGTATTTACGCCACAAGCCCGCTAATAATAACTACCTCCAGGTACTCCATTAAAGTCATTTGCATTGCTCAAATGGATGCTGGGACAGTTTGTAGGCTTCGTGGATTATCTCTTCTAGGTTCTGCTAGTAGACATCTCGCATTATGCTGAACTTTGAAGTCTAGATAAACAAAAATGTAATACTGTAGGACCTCAGGTTAAGTACTTAATTCGTTCCAGAGGTCCGTACTTAACCTGAAACTGTTCTTAACCTGAAGCATCACTTTAGCTAATGGGGCCTCCCGCTGCTGCCGCGCTGCCGGAGCACGATTTCTGTTCTCATCCTGAAGCAAGGTTCTTAACCTGAAGCACTATTTCTGGGTTAGCAGAGTCTGTAACCTGAAGCGTATGTAACCCAAGGTACCACTGTAACAGTCTCTCTCTCTCTCTCTCTCTCTCTCTCTCTCTCTGTGTGTGTGTGTGTGTGTGCATACACACACATATGTACTAATTCAAGAAATAATGAATTGCCATTCCAAATAATGCATTACAGACAACAACTTAATGTTGCAGAACTATAAGTAACCCCATGCTGTGGGAAAAGGCTTGTGCTTTCCGATATGTGTACCAGGCTGATTGCTACTTTAATACATATCATAAAAGGGGAACAATGCCAGATTTCAATTTTTTAGTAATTTAGGAAGGCAGGCTGTTACAGAATTTGAAAATAATTTTAAAGTGTATCATTTTCATGGACATCAACTAGTCTTGATGCTTTTCTTATACAGATATTTATTAATATGGGGAACAACAGGGGCTCATTTCAGACAAACCAGGCTGTTACAAGAATAAGCAGCAGAGAGGCTGTGCTCATGCACTTTCTCCCCCTCTTCTATCTTCCTTCAGACACAAGGCAAGAAGACTTGAAGCTTCCACTTCTGGTTTGCCATCCCATCCAAATGTAGCAAACTGCAGGATCCAAAGCCAGAATCAAGCTTTGGGTGGGATTCTGGACTGAGAACAAACGATGGCTTGTGTAAACCAGGGTTGGGTAACTTGTACCCCTCCAGATCCTACCAGACCACAACTCCCTTCATCACGGAACATTGGGACATGCTGGCTAGGGTTCACGGAAGCTGGAATACAGCAACACCTGCAGGATCACTGCTGCCTTTCTGTTGCAGAAATCATAGCCTGCTGTATTGGGACAAAAATGACTAGAATTTTCAGAGGTCCACTCCATGTTTTTCTAGAAGGTGTGGCGTAACAAAATCTGGAGTAGTTCCAACTCAGAGCTTATTTGGGATTCATGACTCCCTCATTCTGCTGGGCGTTCAGGACTCCAGGACTGACCTACTGGGAGCCTGAAGGGCCATATCCTGCTTCTCTCCACCCTGGCTTAGACGGGGCCTTACAGGCTCCATAACGGACTGCTGGGCAGAGAGGGCTCCGTTTTTGTTTTTATTTTCTTTTTGTTTTTAAATTGTTTTTATTTTTTATCTATGTCATTTTAAATTGTGATTGATATTCACGCTGTATTCTTACTTTTAGATTTTATGATTTATGTGAAAATTGTTTTCCATTTGGTTGTGTACTTTTTGATGTGTTTTATTTATTGTTTACGGTTTTTGTTATGTTGGTAATTATGTAAATCTTGTCATCTTGTAAGCTGCCTTGAGCATTGTTTTAACTATGGAAAGGCGGTATACAAATAAAATGATGAATGAATAAATGAATGAATGAATTCTTCAATCTAGACCAGGCTTCCTCGCGCTCTCTCTCTCTCTATATATATAAACACATTTTATTGGTTTTTTAACATATCATTTTCAACAATCATTTAACATAAGTTCTTATCTTATACAATATTTTTAGACTTTTGTCAACCACCTCTGATGATTTTCTGTTCTTTATCACTTATTCTGCATTTCTTAAGTTCTCTGTTACTCTTAATTATCATTAACTAATAATTCTCTTTATAGTCTTTCTTGCAATATTCCAAATAGTCCTCCTTACAGAACTTCTTGCAGTCCTACTTAGACCAGGCTTCCTCAACCTTGGCCCTCCTGATGTTTTAAGACTACAATTCCCATCATCCATGACCACTGGTCCTGCTAGCTAGGGATCATGGGAGTTGTAGGCCAAAAACATCTGGAGGGCCGAGGTTGAGGAAGCCTGGTCTAGACGTACCATGAGAACCAAAACTTAGAACACAAACCACCGGCAGCAAAACAGGGACCAAGGACAAAGGTGGAAAGACTAAGCCTCTAGTTCTGAAATGCTGACATACAGATAATCACAACTTGGTAATTTGCATATGATTCCTATGTAGATTTGGCAATAGCAACTAGGAAAGCAGAGATCAAGAGTTGAGGGCTTGACTGGAGGCAAGTGAACCCAAATCCATCTCTGCAAGGTGTTCAGTAAAGGAGTCCAAGTTCAAAAATTACAGCTCAGTGTATGAATTTGCTGGGCTCCCAACTCAACTTTATTTTCAAGTAAGCTTCCTTGCCTCAGATAATAATCTTCTGCTAGTAATTTAAGAACATTGCTAGCAGCTTTTTAAAAAAGGTTGTTTCTTTTATATTGCACAGGGGTGCTGTTGTGCTCCTATAGATGCTACCAAAAAATCTGAATGAATAAAAAAAGCATTGCAAGTTATTTCCTGCTGAAGTGGAAGTGGTTCTTTTTTAAAAAATTGTACAGAATAGGGTTTCTTTCTTCCCTCTCTTCTTTTTCTGAGGCAATTTGGAACTCTTGCTTTAAGTTTGTGTTTACATGTGCTGTTTGCCATAGGTGAACCACTTGGTGTTTTTTTGCAATAAGGGGAATTTGCCAATCACTATAGTTGTGCTCTCAAAGTTCAGCCATATGAATTGGAAGTGGAAGCTCAAAATGCAATAGTACAGAAGTGTAGGTGGGTTCCCACGAGACAAGACACAGTGATAACAGCAAGAACCTTTATTGAACTAACAAAACTAGGCAACAGGAGCAAAGCAACTGCCTATATACATTTCTGAAGGCCTGGGCCACACCCACTCCCAACATGATTGGCTGTCTAAACTTCCAAGCTACAAATCAAGACTCAGAGTTT